TAGCTCGCAGGGTCATGGAGGCACGCAAACCATCACACCACGTCAAGGTGCAGTCTCGTCTTGATGGACCACGTAATGACGTTTTTTTGAAAGTCAGGAGACTCACTTCTTTGTGTTTTACGTCTTAAATCACTTTCTATTCCAAACCATCTCATAAGGCGTTTTGTTTTTGCGTGCGTTTTGCCTCACTGCCTTTATGCGTCCCCTGTTATCTTCAAGGACCTCAAACTAATTTCCCGATCCCTCAAGCTTCTGTCAGCTTTTTAGTCTCATACTATGGGAACATCTGGTGACACATCACATCAAGTCCTGTAAAACATTCTCCAACAAGATTTTATCTGATATTTCCCATCCTCCTTATTCCGCCCTCAGTCAGTGCCTTTCTCACTCATCCACGCGTTCCACTCACAAACTCATAAAGACACGTACTGAAGCTTACAGGCGATCAATTGTCCGTTGTCTCGCCAGATTTGATTGTATAACCTACCTTGAGAAAGGTTATCCACGGTAACCGAAACGTCGACGAATGTAATTCTCTACCGACATCGCTGTGTTATTAACAGTATAACATTCACAATAAACCATGAACTCGTTACAGGCAACCTGCGCAAAACGCTAAACTAAATCAACCATAAACACCCGAGTATGCCATTGGTTTTTGATATTGCTGTCCTTTTTCACATCCTTCAATTACTTAATTATATTGTTTTTTTCCCACTTTTTTTTGACACATTATGGTTACGTGGTTGCTGAATATCCACCTCTCGAGGTGTATTAAGCCATTCCTTGACTTGACCTGACTTGAAGCGAGCTTCAGCTTTGGCTTCGCTTTGTGCAGCCCGCCTTCCAGGTTAGGGCCCCCAATTAGTGTCCAGGTCATCCCGGTTACTGGTGGCGGGTAAAGCGTCGCTTATTCGGGACGTCGTAGCACAATTGGTAAGCACTGTATTGGGCCTAGATTGCCAGTTCTAATGGATGAACAGGTCCTGGTATACTTTGTATCCCACCCCCGCGTTATTGCTATTGTCAATATTGTTGTGGCGTTGGCACCATACTTATTCTCAAACCGGTGAAATATGTATATATATATATATATATATTCTCGTAACCATGGTTTTTACGCCTTCTGCTGTTCAGCACAGAATGTGTAAAAGGGTCTAAAATATTCTACACAGCTTGCAAATAGACGTTAAACACGTGAACTCGAACATAGTGTCTTTCCACTGTTGAACCAAAATTAGCTGGAACAATCTATAAGAATTTCGCATGGCGATAGCGCGTCCCAACCGTAGTGCACGTTGAGTTGTCCCTGTATCGCGGCTTCTGTGTATGCTTACGTTGAGCTTCCGACCCATGTTTCGTAACGCTGGCAGTCAATTGGCTGATTCCATGAAGGTTTCGCGACATAACGCGTCACATATATATATATATATATATATATATATATAACACAGGCATTCGATTGGTACGTAATACTCTCCAAGGTGATTGTCTATTGATGTCGAATGCAGCTCGAGAATCAATGAAACAAGCTGAGATTGGCTGATGAGACTTACTGTGATGTTCTAAGGTTTTCTGTCACGTGAAGATTTGATCAATGCAACCCTTCCCTGTATTATAACTGTACGCCCCTGATTAAGAAGAGCACAAGTCATTGAACTGGAACGAGCTGACTAATTCTGTGAATATTTACAAGGTCAATGGGTGAAATACAGATCAATAGTCATTAGGCCTGTCGATATTGGTAAGGTCGATAGCGAAACCGCCCAGTTACGTGACACCCGATGTAAGCTAGCTGCGGGATGCTTGGTGCTCTCATCACACCATCGGTGAAAACCACGCTGGTTTAGGTGTGTCAAGTTCAATAACAAGATTGTTGCAGCTGCAACGAAACATACATTGGTAGAACCGACCGTTCACTGTGAACCAGAATGGCTGAACACATCCCCAAGTATGTACGTGACTCTGTAACTGTTTTTGTAGCAGATGGTTGTGTTTTACCTGAATCAGTGCACATGAGTCAGAAAAGCTTCATGAAGTCTCCAACAGCGGTTACTATTTATATCCCTGCTGCAAATTCATATCATTGCCGTTTACGGTCATTCTTTGCCGATCGTGTAGCTTCTGGAAGAGGGTTGCGGACAGTGGGTGAGTTGTGGAACCTTGCATTCTTAGCTGTTGCGCGGTGTTTTCTTCAGATATTCATTACTTATTTGTGCTTTACCCAGTTGCTCCAGGGCGGCTCATGGAAGAGGATTTTCTCTCTGTCGGTCTTATCTCTACACTTGTCCTCAAGAACTGGGGTCAGTCTGCAGTTTGTCAGCTGATTAAACCTAGGCTTTGTCGGGGATTGCTAGCATAGAAATGCTGATTCTGTCTTGGGATTGAGATTTATGTCACGTTGAAAAACGGATCTTGAGACGGGCACGTACCAGTATGTCATCATCATGCCATCGTCATCATCGTGCAGCGTGATACAGTGAAGCGAAGTTCGCTAATTGCTGCCAAACTCATAATGCATACTAGGTAAGTGAGAATGTGTAAGGAGGATACCCTCGATTAAGCAGAGCTGAATGCTACCAGGCGCGTCCCCGGGTTTTGGATAGGGAGATACCTTCACCAAAGACGGTTAACTGTAAATAAGTTGTGGCACACAGCATCAAATAAGCAGTCGCGAACAAACAGCGGTGGCACTTCCAGGGTGTGGTGGGTTTCAGGCTGGTCACCTGGCTCCTGTTTAAAAGCTGCATAAGCCCAGTGACGGTGTCGTGACAAAGGTCGATGTGACTGGTCTTTTAAAACTAAAGTCACTGACTCCCTTACTTCCGAGGTGAGGCATTACTTCCTGCTACCTTGCAGTTCGCACTTAGTTGTGCAAAGGCTAGAGGTGCGCCCTCAAAATGAAAAACGCCGGATGAGTCTGGGGAC